TAATTATAACTAATAGGAAAAATTTCAACCACACCCTTTCTAGTTTACCATATCTTCAAGGATACTCCTCTATTTTCTGAATCTTCACTAACACTCCTATCAAATTAAAAGTGTTAACTACAATGCAATTTTGCTAAATTGCCTATGATAAATTTTAGGAAAAACTTCATCTGCACCCCCTCTAGATAGATATATTTTCAATAAGACCTGTTATATCTTTTAAATTTTTTTACGTATTAAAATTCGAACCGTTTAAAAGTTGGTTTAAGTTAATTAAAATTTATTTTTTACGTATGAAAATTTTGAGTCGATCAAAAGTTATATTTTTGAACTCAAATTTTAATACGTAAAAAATAAATTTTAATTAATTTGAATTAAATTTTAATTGACACAAATTTTAATAAGAAAATATATAAATTTTAATCGACTCGAAACAAATTTTAATCTGCGCTAACTACTCAGATAGAACTCAAATCGGCTTGAATTTTAATATGTAAAAAAATTAATAGGCTCGAATTTTAATACTTAAAAAAATAAAATTTAATCAGCTCGAATCGAATTTTAATCAGTTCAAATTTTAATATGTTGAAAAATGAATTTTAATCAACTCAAATTTTAATATTGAAAAATTGAATTTTAATCGGTTTGAATTTTAATCAAATTTTATGTAAGAAGATTGTTTGAGTTTTATGTAGGGATAATGATGGTATTTTTTTTTTATTAGAAATGGTTATTTAACGACAGGAAGTGTCAATGATGTTTAAATATAAATTAGGAGTGTCAGCGATGTTTTGCATAATAGAGGGGGTGTTCTTGAAGGTATGATAAACTAAAAAAGGTGTGGCTGAAATTTTCTCTGACTAATTTCACGTAATATTTTGAATTTCATAAACATAATGATGAAATTGATGCAATTTATGTTGATCACTAAACACTGTAAATCGTCATAAATTATGAAATTACATTAGGGTACAAAACCCTTTCCTGTCATGATGGCCATGTAATTCCATTTCTCAACAAACTAGACATTGGTGTTGTAACACAGAGATAAACATAATTGCAAGAACATAGAGTTTCTATAATTCTATGTATTATGAGTGAATGAAGTCTCTTTGGGACCAAAAGCCTAACATTTGGAATGCAAACTCTCTGATAGTGAAACCTATAGGAGGATGTGTTCTAAACCTATTATATATTTTTTTATTTCCTTCTAATTTTTTAATACAGAGAGTAATCACATACAAAGCGAGATAGATTATAAAAACACTGATATTTAGGAATGAATATGTGCACGACCTTGCGGCACTTGCGAAGACCTACTAACTGAAAGTGATATTGAGGACAAGGAAAAAGCAGGTGTATAGGACCTCCCCAAGTGCGGCATCTATCTCTCTCTCTGAGTGGATTTGGATTTGAAAAAATGGGGATTTTAGAGTTGAGGTTTGTGGGCTTTTGACCCTCAAAATGAAAGCGCTTTTGCATTGTGGGAGTAGCTTCAAAGTTTATGAAAGAAACGACACAAGCACTACTAGAGACAAGACAGCCGAGTGACTAACATTGATGATCTCACAAAAGGAAGACATGGAGGGCAAAATTGTCATACTACAAAAAGTTATGAAACCCATCAGCTAAGAAGCACAGATACGGATACGGATACAGATATGGATACGGAAAAATCTCAATATATGGGACACGGGTACGGCGAGGATACGGCTAATTAAAATAATTATATATATAACGACAATATTAATAATAACAAACAACCAAAACATAGCTAACATTACTTAAATTGAAATAGATCAAAGATTCAAAAAGATACATCCATAGTCCACAAGTTTGCTAACAAAAGAACACAAAAACAAAAAGAAACCTACATCCTCCCTCAATTCACTTCAACGCGCTCAACATTCTCATTGTCAATTCTTTCATCAATAAAGCGTATGGCCTCCAAATCTGGTTCATCAAGGGAAAGATTTGCAATATCAAGCATCTCACTACCCTCCTCATCTATGGAATCAAATGCATCTCCTGCAACATCCCACATCTTAGTGTTGCCTTCCTTGTCTTGAGGAGATTTTCTTGATAGAAGACGGAGATTGGAGTGTACAAATACCAAGTCTTCAGCTCTATTTGGTTTGATTTTGTTCCTCCTAAAAGAGTGTATAAAAGAATAAGTGCTCCAATTCCTCTCACAACATGAGAAGGAACAAGGTTGTCCCAGTAACTTCAAAGCCAAGTTTTGGAGCAAGGGTGCCGTAGAGCCATAGATAACCCACCAAAAAGCCAGCTATATGAGTCATCTATCACTTATGGAATCATGACTTCCAAATTCTTTAAATCACGCTAAAAACTTGGCGTACTCCTCTTTGGTCTTTCTTTGCTCCTCTAAATTAGAAAAGTATCTTTGAAAACACTTTTCTCTTTCATTTGAAATCTGTTCATCTTTGTGTGGACGAACACAATTAGGAGCCATAGAAAGTCATTCCACGCTATAATACCTAAAAGACAAAGTAAATAAAATAATAATCATTTGATATCTAGAAAATTAAATTAGAATCTTAAAGTTTAGAGCTTACAAATTACCTCAGATTCAAGGAATGTGCCAAGCAATGGAGCGGTGTGTCGCTCTTGCCCCATCTATCCATTAATATTTCATAAACCACCGAATAAAAGGTTGATTCCTCATCTTCCCACTTCCCTTCGTGACGAAAGATAATAACCTTCACTTTCGTAATCATAGAATCCCACATATCAAAAACTAATTGTTGGCAAGGTATATTTGTTTCGGCCTTCCTTAGCATCTCATAAATGGGTTCAGTAAAGGAAATTATATAATCAATTTTGTCCGACCACAAATCATTTAATATTTTCTCCTTCACAAAGGCCGCTTTGCAACATCATCTTCTCTATAAGAAGACTACCGATTACTAATAACCATGTTTTGGAGACCACGTTTTAAAACTTTAAATCTCACAATGGTTGAAGCAAAACGTGTCTCCGCAATTGAGAGCATCTTCAAATTCACATGATCATTAAACATGTCCAATCTTATGTTGTGGTTCACAATAAAATTTTTAATGCCCACATAATCCCCAGCAATAATTGAGATCCAATTATACTCTTCATAAACACGTCCATTGGCTTCGGTGTTTTTTGGTGCACAAATATTCTTCAAAGCAAGATTAAGTGTGTGCACCACACAAGGGGTCTAAAAGATGTGTTTATGACGACCCTAAAAAAGCATTCCCGCACTCTTACAAACGGGTGCATTATCAGTGATCACTTGGACCACATTTTGAGGTCCAACTGCATGAATGATCTCCAGAAGTAAGTTGGATATGAAATATTTGTCCTTATATTCACCTTCACAATTAACTGCTTTCAAGAACTTAGGCCCACTTTCACACACTGTTATGAAATTTATGATTGGCCTCCTTTGAGCATCCATCCAACCATCAAAAATAATACTTATACCTTTTTCTTTCCACAATTGCTTCATTGGCTCTAACAACCTCTCAATGTTTGCTCTCTCTTTTTGAAGAAGTAAAGTCCTCAACATATTATAAGTAGGAGGGATATAGCCACTAATCATATGAGTAGCTGCAAAAGAGTGAGAGTGACAATAATGTGGATTCCTTGCAAGGTGAAATGGTAAACCGGCTGAGTAAAACTTCCTTACAATCTCACTATGTAGCTCTTCTTGAGCTCCAACATTAAAGGCTTTCTCAAGAACAAAAGTAGTCTTACTTTTTTTTTAGGTCTAAACCAGTCCCTGCATTAATGAATCAAATCCCATTCCCATAGCACTACTAATACTTGCACTCGAGGAAGCAGGTTTGCTTGATGCTAAAGATGGTGGTAAAGGGACTTGTTTGGGCACACTTTTTCTCATTCTCACCTTAGTTTCATCAGCTAACCTTTGCATTTCAATTAATAATTGTGGAGTCACTTTCTGGCATACTTGAACTCCATGACCGCTGATTTTTAACAAATGTGTCTTAACCCTATAATATGATCCTTTAAAACTCAGTTGATACAAATTGCATTGAAACCGAACATTTCCTCCCCGTACACCAATTTTATCTATTTTTGTGTAATATTTCCATAAAGGGGTGTGATCATCACTACCATCCCCACTGCCAAGAGAACTCATTTTCCTGAATCCTAAATAACAGGCAACAACACATCAATTTTCAGAAGGCAGCAGGCAGCACAGATGACAATTTTCAAAACCAGCAGGCAGCAGCACACTAACACAGAAGGCAACAGCACAGATCACCAAAAAAAAAACATAACAACACAACGAAAAAGAGAAGACAGAAGCTAGCTAGAAAAGCAATTTTCAGTATTTAAAACTAGCAGACAGTAGCACACTAGCATAGAAGGCAGCAACACAGATGACCAAGACTAAAAAATAAAACCCGAAGGCAGCAAACAACACAGCACCAAACCAAAAAAAAATTCTCAAATTTTGAAAACCCTAAAAATCCCTAATCAAATTAACCTAATCAAATTTTTTAAAAGTCTACGCTCCATACAGACTAGAAGACGAAGAGATAAGAGCAATAGTAGCAGATCTGAAAAAAAATTGAAGCGAGAAGAAGAACCTGCAAGATCGTAGTCACAGATCGCCGTCGTAGTCGCAGGTTAGTCTTCCTTCCTCTTCTCCTCCTTCTCCTCTTCTCTTCTCTTCTCTTCTCTTCTCTCTCTCTCTCTCTCGAACACACTGAATGTCGATTGGAGACGTTCGGTTCACAGATCATATGCCTTTTGTTTTTTCTCTTTCAAGCCAAAACGACGTAGCTTTGGCCTTTATTTTTTTTCGTTTCGGCCCCCTTAAGTTTTTAAAATAACAAAAGTACCTCGCCGTATCCCCCCCGTATCCGACCCGTATCCAACCAAAAAAAATCACAGCCACTGTTAAGGACATTTTTGCATGTGTCGGACACGTGTCCGACATTGCCACGACGACCCCCCAACGAGTATCCGTGCTTCCTAGGTCATAATGGAACTGTACCATTATCAACATTTTCAAGCTTGAAACCATGGAGCTTAAATGGACAAACATCTCATTTAAGTGAGACTAAAACAAGAAATGCATTGATGATGCGTGCACAAATCCAAAATAGATGGATGCAAACTTTTGATTCCCCAGCAAGAACAGATTACCTGAGGAGCTTGTTTCTCAGAATCTAAAGCTTCTTGTGGTTTTGGCTTTTGGTTTCCAGACAAGCCAAAAACCTGCGATGGGCCAGATACAGCAGAGACATTTACATCTGGCCCCAACAAAGTGGTCCTCCTTCCATCCTCTAATTTCACCAGTTTTGAAGGGCGCTTCATTGGATCTAAACTGTCACGGACCAGGTCGGCTTTCTCTGATATGTCTGAAGACGAGCTGGGATACGTATCAACTCTATGGCTCCAAGTTGAATCATTAGTAACTTGTGGAGGTCTATTAGAGTCCTGTGCAATGCCAGATAATAATGAGGAGCTATGCTATTAACAGAAAGAATATAGAGAACATCAATTTTGTGTTATTAAAGAAATGACTTTTGCAAAGTATAGTAATGAAATAATTATCTATCAAAACAAACAATTTCTACAGCCACTAGCTGGTACATACTCTCAGTCAAAGCAAAGGTTGCATGAGTTTCAGTTTCAACTTATGCGAAGAATATGATCTTCTATATTCCTATTTACAACCACATCTGTTTTTAATTCTAGTTTATTACTCATGAAATTGAAGATGGAGATGCAACACCTTTTCTTCCAGGAAAAAAAATCAACTGAGTTGAAAGAATGCTTTATACACAAGTTAGCCCAAGGACAACAGCATTCTTCAACAGACACCTGCGTTTGGCTATTTCCCTTATTTTTTATATAAAAAGACTGAGTTTTGCCACCTGAAAACCATGATCTGACAGTAGTGGATGAATCGAAAGAGAAGGTTGAAGGGTGCATTTGGACCAATCAGCTGAGCATTCCCAAAGGGCCGTGTAACAGA